CAAAACTGATAAGACTCTAAAGTCTTATCATTTGGATATCAGAGCGACGATAAGACTTTAGATTCTTATCATTTGGTATCAGAGCGACGATAAGACTTTAGAGTCTTATCATTTGGTATCAGAGCGGCGATCATTAACGTTCTCGCTGCCGTAGCTACCCTGTGTTTCTCGCTCTGCATCATTACCGCAGCCACCGGTTGCCACCACTACAGTCTCAACCCCGGCCGCTTCAATGCCACCTCCCTCTTGTTTTGCCTCCGCTGCTACAGTTGTCGGTTGCCATCACCGCAGCCTCAACACGGCTGCTCGGCGATTGCTTCCTTGGGTCACAACAGTCGCAACCGTCGCCTTTCAGCCTTGGTGCTCTCATCTCACGCAGTGGCACAAACACAGGGTAGCTACTCTTCCTCTAACGCAGCGACCGCAGCACTGCCCTTGGCGTCCACCTCCTCGGTAACTTTGCATCGATAGTGTTGATGCCCTTGACCGATACCAAAAACAGGAGTTGAGATTACAGATTTGCAGTCTTACGCAATGGCCACTGATAACTCGGTGAAAGCACAAATGGAAGCATTGGAAATCAGAATTGAAACGACTGCAAGAAACACTTAATGATTTCAAAAAGAGCCTACTGGAGAGCCTTAGCAAATTTCAACAAATTGGGGGCTCAAGTTCTACGTTGCACAGATCTGAAAATACAGAAAAAGGGCCCCAAGATTGTGACACAAATTACTCACACATGAAGATAGAATTTCCGAGATGGAAAGATGGAGATCCGACCCATTGGATCTCTAATGTAGAAATTTTTTTCCGTTTTCACATAACCCAAGAAGAATCCAAGGTAGAAGTGGCCTCAATCCAGCTCGAGGGAGATGCACTCCAGTGGTACGATTGGTATGAAACTTTCCACGGAGTTCCTTCGTGGGAGCAGTTCAAAAGAGGGATTCTTGTTCGCTTTGGCCCATCCGAATATGAGAATATTGATTGCCAGCTCACCAAAATTCGTCAGACTTCTACAGTGTTAGAATATCAGAGTAGGTTTGAAAGATTATCAAATCAAGTTAGAGATTGGTCAGACCGACAACTTCTGGATACATTTATTGAAGGGCTTATTCCAGAGATCCGGTGTGAAGTTAAGGCTCGTCAACCCCGCACTATGATAGCTACGATCTCATTTGCAAATCTATATGAGAAAAAAATTAGCAAGGAAAGATCATCAAGGGGTTTGTACTATGATGAAAAATAGAGTATGGAGCACCGATGTAAACAAGGGCAACTTCTGATGATTGAATCAATTGGAGAGGAGCCGAAAGCTAAGAATGTGGACTTCGATCATGAAGGTATAAATTCTAATAAAGACATTAAACCTACCATACATACAATGCATACATTAGCCGACTACTATAACTCGCAAACTATGGAAGTTGCCGAAACTCTAGAGCATCAGCCTATTATAGTTTTGATTGATACTGGTAGCACTAACAATTTTATGGACAGTGAGATTGTTGACCGATTGGCCCACCACATTGAAGACTATGACATATTCGAAGTAAAGATCGCTGATGGACAGATTTTAACTTGTGATATCAAAGGTTCAAAGATAAAATTGATTATACAAGGCCATAAGTTTCATGCAACGATTACTATACTGAAAGACCGACCTGTTGCTTATACTATCAAAAAGTGGAGACCATACTTACTTGATCAATGGGTTGTGATGCGTTGCAGATAGTCAATAACTAAAGTGCCGAAAGAGAAGCTCCCCGAGATTAATGCTGCTCAGCCTTGAGGACAAGGCTGATTTGAAGGGGATCGACCCTCCTTGATAACTTCGAGGGGATCAGCCTCCTAGGGTTTGTCAAAAGACAGAATAGTATTTTTCATAGATTACTGAAAAGAAGCAGTTACATCCCCTATTTATAGAGTTCTACCCAGAGTTCATCAGGACTTGAACTCTAATAATAAATAAATATTAAATAAACCTCTACTTGATTCTAACTGAACCAAACTGACTCAATAAACAACTGAATTAAATAGACTTAATAAACATTATTCAAAAGCTCAGAAAAAGGGTCCTAACAAAAACCATGATAATTCTCTCTCAACATGTCAATAGGGAGAGATTTTCTTCAATAATTCTTCCTTCTTCTATCTCTTTTAACATGGTATCAGAGTCATAACCCCAGAGGGCTCTATCTCGCCTCAGAACCATGGTAACCAAGT